GCTAGGAAACGGATAGATAGCATTAGGAGAAACACCTAATGTAGATGACGGGGTAATGGATGCAACAAACCACCATGGCACATGTATACCCATATAACAAACCTGCATGTTCTGCAAATGTACCCCAGAACTTATAATAACAATAAAGAAAATGTGGTACATATACACCATGGAATACCATGCAGCCATAGAAAGGAATGAGCTCATGTCCTTTGCAGGGAAATAGAAGGAACTGAAAGCCATTATCCTCAGCAAACTAACACAGGAACAGAGAACCAAACACTGCATGTTCTCACTCATAAGTGGGAGCTGAACAGTGAGAACACATGGGCACAGGGAGGTGAACAGCACACACTGGAGCCTTGCAGAGGGTGGGGTACAGAGAGGATCAGGATTAATAGCTAATGCATGTGAGGCCTAATACCTAGGTAATGGGTTGGTAGGTGCAGCAAACCACCATGGCACACATTTTCATATGTCACAAACCTACGTGTCCTGCACATAAACTCCAGAACTTAAATGTAAAGAAAAAGACAAAGTTTCTCACTCATATAAATTGATGGTTGTTAGTAATTACTACTGAAAGTATTTTAAGCTCTTCAATATAAGTATCCAGAGAACACATCATGACAATCATATTTATGATATTATCTACTATTTTTTAAAAACAGTTGTCCATCCTGAATTCCAAACATACTTTTCTAATTAATGACTGAATATCCTGCCTGCATGTAGCATGTCCCAAACTACATTTACATATTTTTTCCCCTTACCTGTTCTCTTGTGTGAATCTCAGCTCTAAGGGAACAAGGCAATTATCTAACTCACGGGCCCATACAAAGATCAGGAAATCAAGCCATGAGCTAACGTTGGCACCTTTACTGCCTAAATATGTCCCTAACCTGAGCCCTGACCTCCATTTTCACTGTTGCCTCATTGTTTCTTAGATAATGTATTTTAGCAGGCTCTAAATTGGTCTCTTTTCTTCCACTCCTTATTTCTTTCTCACTCTGTGGATAAATTTTAGAAACGTGCTGAAATCAGCCAAATTCTACCAGAGGTACAAAGAAGAGCTGGTACCATTTCTTCTGAAACTATTCCAAATGATAGAAAGAGAGGGAGTCCTACCTATCTCATTTTATGAGACCAACATCACCCTGATACCAAAACCTGGCAGAGACACAACTAAAACAGAAAATTTTGGGCCAGTATCCCTGACGAACATCAATGCAAAAATCCTCAATGAAATACTGGCTAACCTAATCCAATAGCATATCAAGAAGCTTATCTATCACGACCAAGTTGGCTTCATCCCTGGGATGCAAGGCTGGTTTGGCATATGCCAATCAATAAATGTAATTCTACATAAACAGAACCAAAGACAAAAACCACATGATTATCTCAACAGATGCAGAGGAGGCCTTTGACAAAATTCAGCAGTCCTTTATGCTGAAAACTCTCAATAAACTAGGGACTGATGGAACATATTTCAAAATAGTAAGTGCTATTTATGACAAACCCATGGCCAAAATCATACAGGATAGGGAAAAACTGGAAACATTCCCTTTGGAAAACTGGCATAAGACAAGGTTACTCTCTCACACCACTCCTATTCAACATATTACTGTAAGTTCTGGCCAGGGAAATCAGGCACGAGAGAAATAAAGGGTATTCAAATAGGTAAAGGGTAAGTCTCTATTTGCAGACAACATGATTATATATGTAGAAGACCCCATCGTCTTAGCCCAAAATCTCCTTAAGCTGATAAACAACTGTGACAAAGTCTCAGCATACAAAACCAATGTGCAAAAATCACAAGCATTCCTATATGTCAGTAACAGAGAAACAGACACCCAAATCATGAGTGAACTCCCATTCACAATTGCTACAAAAAGAATGAAACACCTAAGAATACAACTTACAAGGGATGTGAAGGATCTCTTCAAGGAGAACCATAAACCACTGTTCAAGGACATAAAAGAGGACACAAACTGATGGAAAAACATTCCATGCTTATGGTTAGGAAGAATCGATATTATTAGAATGGCCATACTGCCCAAAGTAATCTATAGATTCAACACTATCCCCATCAAGCTACCATTGACTTTCTTAACATAATTAAAAAAAAAAAAACAACTTAATTTCATATGGAACCAAAAATGAGCTCACACAGCCAAGACAATTCTAAGCAAAAAAGACAAGGATGGAGGCATCATGCTACCTGACTTCAAACTATACTCAAGGCTACAGTAATCAAAATAGCATGGCCCTGGTACCAAAACAGAGATATAGACCAATGGAACAGAACAGAGGCCTCGGAAATAATGCCATACCCCTGAAACCATCTGATTGACAAACCTGACAAAAACCTGCAATTGGAAAAGGATTCCCTATTTAATAAATGGTGTCAGGAAAACTGGCTAGCCATATGCCGACAGCAGAAACTGGATGCCTTCCTTACATCTTATGCAAAAATTAACTCAAGATGGCTAAAGATTTAAACCTAAGACCTAAAACCATAAAACCCCTAGAAGAAAGCATAGGCAATACCATTCAGGACATAGGCATGGGCAAAGACTTCATGACTAAAACAAAGGCAATGGCAACAAAAGCCAAAATACACAAATGGGATCTAATTAAACTAAAGAGCTTCTGCACAGCAAAACAAACTATCATCAGAGTGAACAGGCAACCTACTGAATGGGAGAAGATTTTTACAATCTACCTACCTGATGAAGGGCTAATATCCAGAATCTACAAAGAACTTAAACAAATTTACAGGGGGAAAAAAAAACAACCCCATCAAAAAGTGGGTAAAGGATATGAACAGACACTTCTCAAAAGGAGACATTTATGCAGCCAACAAGCATACGAAAAAAAGCTCATCATCACTGGTCATTAGAGAAATCAAAGTAAAAACCATATTGAAATACCATCTCACACCAGTAAGAATGGTGATCATTAAAAAGTCAAGAGACAACAAATGCTGGAGAGGATGTGGAGAAATAAGAACACTTTACACTGTTGGTGGGAGTATAAACTAGTTCAACCATTGTGGAAGGCAGTGTAGCGATTCCTCAAGGAAATAGAACTAGAAATACCTTTTGACTAGGCAATCCTATTACTAGGTATATACCCAAAGAAATATAAATCATTCTGTTATAAAGACACATGCACAGGTATGTTTACTGCAGCACTATTCACAATAGCAAAGACTTAGAACCAATCCAAATGGCCATTAATGACAGACTGGATTTAAAAAATGTGGCACATATACACCATGCAATACTATGCAGCCATAAAGAAGAACGAGTTCATGCCCTTTGCAGGGACATGGATGAAGCTGGAAACCATAGTTCTCAGCAAACTAGCACAAGAATAGAAAACCAAACACCACATGTTCTCACTCATACGTGGGAGTTAAACCATGAGAACACATGGACACAGGGAGGGGAACATCACACACCAGGGACTGTTGGAGGGGTGGAGGTAGGGGAGGGATAGCATTAAAAGAAATACCTAATGTAAATGATGGGGTGATGTATGCAGGCAACCACCATGGCACATGTATACCTATGTAACAAACCTGCATGTTCCGTACATGCACCCCAAGTATAATTTAAAAAAAGAAAGAAAGAAACAGGCTGAAGGTCCACCAAGGGTGTCTCATTGCACTTGACATAAGCTACTTTCAGACTCAACATTCTTCTTCCCTTTCCCCACATCTCCCACTGACTCTTCTCTTCTCCTTCAGTCACTCCAGCCACATGGATTTTCTTTTTGTTCTCAGACACATTGAGTGTGTTTCGTCCTCAATCTTTAGTATTTTCTGTTCCCTCTGCCTGAAATGCTCTTCCCTCATGTATTTTATGTTTAGGTTCTCATAATTTAGACCAAACACTGTTCCCTTTCCAAAGAATAACAATTAGCTCCAGCTCTCCTTTCCTACTCCTTCTTGTTGGTCTTTAAGATAAAGCAATTTAAAACATTCATCTTCCTCACTATATCTCTGAAACATCTGAGAAAGCAGGCAAGGTAAATAAAGATTAAAATAGCCCCTTTGTAATTGTTAATGGTGGATATGACAACAAGCTGGTTTATAACTTTGGACTAGCATGTTTGCTAGCACTGGTCCCCAGAATTCAGTAGGCTCATCTACGAGTCCCAGGAAGTCCATGGGGCTGGCTATGTTCCACATGAGGACAGCTCTCCACTGCCCCCCGGACACTTAAGGAGGGAGAAGCAGAGCACACATGTGTGCCACCAAAAGCCAGGCAGATGGGTCCCTCTACTTGCCTTGGCAGAATAAGAGAAAGATCAGAAAAGGGCCAGGAGGTTATGCTACCGGGTACTCTTTCAAAGGCAGGAAACAGTAGGAGTGAGCAATGGATGTTTGTTTAGAACTTGTCATTTAGTTTTATTTTTTTTTTATAGCAGTTATTTTGCTCACATTCTCTTTCCAACTAGGTTCTAATCGCCAAGCATGTATATGTTTTTATCTCTGTGTTCAAAGCTGAATCCCCAAAACCGATTGCCCTAGTTGGCACATAGTAGACACTAAATAAATATTTAATGAATAAACCCTCTTCTAAATTTCAGCATCCCCATACCTAATTAGTAACCAAATCTCACCAATATAGTCAATAAATATTTCTCAAACCTCTCCCCTTCTTTCCATCCCATTGCTTCTGCTTAAATTCAGACTCTTTCATTTTCACTTACAACTGGTTTCTTTTCTCTGCTCTAATCTGGCTTTAGAGTAATTTTCTACACTGCTGTCAAGGTAACTGTTCTAAAATTTAAATCTGATTTTATACCATTCCATACTTTCTTTTGCAGCCCTGATACCCTGTAGCATTATTTCTCTTTCTGAAATAAGATCCTAAATATATTTATATTTTTACACACATATACATATATACATACAATTACATGTGTGATGGATCACCATCACACATGCAATCCATTAATGACTGAAATGTAATTTATGAGGCACATACCTGTATATATTAGAAAGATGTTTTAATCCAGGAGGCAGAGGTTCCAGTGAGCTGAAATTGTGCTACTGCGCTTCAGCCTGGGCAACAAAAGAGCAAGACTGTCTGCAAAAAAAAAAAAAAAAGAAGGGAGGGTTTATATGTATTTATGTGTGCATATGCATGTATATTTATGTGTGTACCTACATACAGTTATGTACCACATAAAGGACATTTCAGTCATTGATAGACTGCATGTATGATGGTGTCCTATAAGATTATAATATTGTGTATCATTTCTACATTTAGACATGTTTAGTTACACAATACTTACCATTGTAGGACAACTGCCTACAGTATACAGTATATGCTACACAGGTTTGTAGCCTAGGAGCAAGAGGCTATACCATATAGCCTAGGTGTGTAGCAGTCAACTCTAGGTTTGTATAAATATACTATAACACAAACCAACAAAATTGCCTAAGGACACATTTCTCAGACTGTATTCCATTAAGTGATCCATGACTCTGTGTGTGCATGCGCACATGCGAGCATGCACGTGTGACAATAGTAATGATATGTATAGATGCATGCATTATTCCTGTAATTTATTATATATGGAGAACATTGCTAAAATACGTTTTAGCACAGGTTTTGAGTGCTAGCTTATGCTTTTTCTAATTTTATTGTACCCTTCTGAGTGTATTATATGATGAAATATATGTTTTTTCACTCTGTAGGTCTTCTCTCTGCCATTTATGTTTTATATTCTGGCAAAACGTTTGCCAAGTTATGACAATTAAAGATATAAACGATACTGCTGTAGTTAACACAGAGGAACAAAGGGAAAAGTTACGCTGATTGTCCAAATTCAACTTATATGCTTCTTTGACGCATCTTTGAGGAAATAACCAGGAAGCAGAAATAAAATTTATTTAGAGACTGGTATAAATTCTTTGACAGTAAAGCGCATTATAAAGATAACTCTGGGCTATGAAGATTGATAAAAACTTATGAGAATGAGTACTGGAAAAATCTGTGATCAAAGGCACGTCATGACTACAAGATAATTGAACAGAACCGAAGAACGACTGCTAATTTAAAATGCCACATGCATCTGCCTGTGGACGGTCATCATTCACCATTTCCAATGCACTCTTCTCCTGAAGAGGCAAGCAGGAAAGTTATACCACTTCTCATCAGATCCCATCAGTGATGCCCATTCACCACAGGGTTCAAGTCAAGCAGGATGTTTTATACTGGCAAGATATCTTCCCGTTCTCCCTGACATTCTTTGCTCCAACAAAACCAAACACTACCAGCCATAAACTAATGTGCTATAACATATCATCTTTACTTATCCTCATAATTATTTTTTTCCAACTTTTACATTCAGAGAGGTACATATCCATCTGGATATATTAGGTGATTATTTGTACCCCTGAGATTTGGGGTACAAATAATCTTGCCACCCAGTTACTAACTAAGCATAGTATCCAATAGCTAGTTTTTCAGCCCTTTCCCCTCTTCCCTCCCTTATCCAGTAATCCCCAGTGTCTACTGATGCCATCTTTATGTCAATGAGTACCCAACATTTAGTTTACATGTGTACATAAGAACATGCAGTATTTGGTTTTCTGTTTCTGCATGAATTTGCTTAGATAATGACCTCTAGCTGATCCATGTTCCTTCAAAGAATATAATTTAATTCTTTGTTATAGCTGCATAGTGTTCCACAGTATATAAACCACATTTGATTTATCCATTCCACCATTGATGGACACCTAGCTTGATTCCATGCATTACTTTTGTATATTGTACTGTACTGAACACACGGATGCATGTGTTTTTTTGGTAAAATAATTTATTTTCTTTTGGCTATATATCCAGCAATGGGATTGCTGGGTTAAATGACAGTTCCACTGTAATTTGAGAAATCTCCAAACTGCTTTCCAGAGTATTTTAACTAATTTACATTCCTACCAACATTGTTTGAGTGTTCCCTTTTCTCTGAAGTATCACGAGCATTTGTTGTTTTTTGACTAATAATCACCATTCTGACAGGTGTGAGATGGAGCTCATTGTTGTTATGATTTGCATTTATCTGATAATTAGTTTTGTTTGGCATTTTTTCATATGTTAGTTAGTTGCTTATATGTCTTAAGAAGTGTCTGTTCATTTCTTGTACCCATTTTTGGGGGGAGGAGGACAGAGTCTTTGCTCTGTCATCCAGGCTGGAGTGTGGTAGTGCAGCCTTCGTTCATTGCAACCTCTTCCTCCCAGGTTCAAGATATTCTCCTGCCACAGCCTCCCAAGTAGCTGGGACTACAGGTGCCTGACACCACACTTGGCTAATTTTTGTATTTTTAGTAGAGACAGGGTTTCATCATGTTGACCAGACTGGTCTTGAATTCCTGACTTCAGGTGATCTGCATGCCTTGGCCTCTCAGAGTTCTAGGATTACAGGTGTGAGCCACTGCACTTGGCCTTTTGCCCATTTTTAAATGGGGTTATTTGTTTCTTGCTGTTTAATTGTTTAACTTCCTTATAGATTCTGGGTATTAGATTTTTGTCAGGTGTGTAGTTTGCCCATATTTTCTCCCATTCTGTAGGTTATTAATTTGCTGTGATGTTAGTTTTTTGCCATACAGATGCTCTTCAACTAAGATTGCTTTTGAGGACTTAATCATAAATTCCTTCCCAGGGCCAATGTCCAGAATGTAATTTCCTTGTTTTTCCTTTCTAGGATTGTCATAGTTTGAGGACTTACCCTTAAATCTTTAATCCATCTTGAGTTAATTTTTATATATGATGTAAGGTACGGATCCAGTTTTATTTTTCTGCATATGGCTAGCCAGCTATCCTAGCACCATTAACGGAATACGGAGTCCTTTGCCCAGAACTCCTGCCTCCAGGATGCACTCCCTACCCTGCTTGGTGTAGACCTCTGACTGCTATTGACAAATATACTGAAACATTAAACACAATGTATTGTGATAATTTATAGGTAGTACTCACTCTGTACAATTTTATGGTGATTGAACTTACCTTCTCACCAGATTGTGAACATCTTAAAGAAAGTGATTCTGATTTTTGTTTGTTTGAGATGGTGTCTTGCTCTGTTGCCCAGACTGAAGTGTGGTGGTGCAATCTCAGCTCGTTGCAGCCTCTGCCTCCTGGGATTAAGCAATCAAGTGAGTCTCCTACCTCAGTCTCCTGAATAACTGAGATTGCAGGCACACACTACCATGCCTGGCTAATTTTTGTATTTTTAATAGAGATGGGGTTTCATCACGTTGGCCAGGACTGGTTTCAAACTCTGACCTAAGGCAATCTGTCCACCTCAGCCTCCCAAAGTGTTGGAATTACAGGCTTGAGCTACCACACTGGCCATGACTGTGTTTTTTCAACTGCAATCTCAATGTCTGATACCTCATCATTACAAGTGAAATGACATTGAATCAAGGGAGGAAAAAAACATGTAATAATTAAAAAGTTAAAGTATTCTTTCTGTTCCCTGGAAAAGACAATGCAATGGAACTTGGGTTGAAGAGGCAAGAAATCTGTGAATTGCAATTCTGATGGTTAAAATGCTCAATAACTCAGAAATTTACTTGTGGTTGTTAGTTGATGACTTTATGATCATTTGGAAACATCAATCATCACTGCAATCCCTCTAATATGAGAATGTGCTTCAGAATCTGTAAAATGCATGATTTTTGTGGACTAGGACTAGATTTTGTGGTAATAACTGGTCTCCAAAGTTATTTATATTCCTTCAGAATTCCATACTTACTTTTATTCTATATGATCTTACCAATAGAAATTAGACTGGGGTTACAAGTTAGCTAAGCCACGGGAAAGCATTAGACTATATGACTAAGAGCCAAGACAACACCTAGTTCAGATTCTACTTCTACCAATTACTGGATAGGTGATTTTGTCTGCTTAATCTTATTAATCTATACAATGAGAACAATTGAATCTTAATCTTTTGAATCCCTTTGCCTTTTGAACCCCAATTTTCACCTACAAAATGATTGTAAATGTGTAATACACGAGTATCATAAGGAGTGTAAAATAACAAGAACAGTAGACTTAGGAGAGTACCTGTCTTAGTCCATTTTCATATGGTTACAAAGAAATACCCAAGACTGGTCAACTGATAAAGAAAGAGAGGTTTCATGGACTGACAGTTTCACATAGCTGGGGAGGTCTCACAATCATGGTGGAAGGTAAAGGAGCAAAGGCACATCTTGCATGGTGGCAGGCAAAAGGAGCATGTGCAAGGGAACTGCCCTTTATAAAATCACTGGATCCTGTGAGACTTATTCACCATCTACAGAATAGCATGGAAAAAGCCCGGCCCCTTAATTCAATTACTTCCCACAACCCATGGGGATTATGGGAGCTATAATTCAAGATGAAATTCCAGTAGGGATACAACCAAACTATATCAGTACTCAAAACTTAATAAGAAGCTCAGTTGATATTATTTTTTTGGTTATAAGTATGATTTTTGGACATGCCCAATTTAGCTGTTCTACCACCAGTATCAGATCCAAAAATTTTATCCTTTGGGTCTTGAATCCTTTTTCTACACTCCCAATTGTCAGTTACGATACAAATACCCCCAGGGATCTAAGAAGTCTTATGCTTTTGCTGTCAGACATTCTTATTTCAGGATAAAGCTTCCTGAGAGCACCTTTGTGTGAAAATAGAACACAAAATAACTGAAAACAGAATGTTATATAGTAATTAGGTTGAATTAGAAATTGCTTTACAGAACCACATTATGTATGTGGGGGGAAATAACATTAATAACTTTTTTCCAACAACTACATATATAAAAATGTATTTAAACATATGTATATTTATATATAGTATCTAAATATCTATAATGTAAAGATGATAAATGCCTGGCATATTTTTCAGGACTCATTAATGCAGCTGCCTGTTTCCTTATAGCTTATTTGGCTATAGTAACATGTAAGAAATATACTACTTTGGAGTAGGGAGTATGGAGAAGGAGACCGAAACAATAGTTTAGATCAAAGAATCTTAGAGCCAGGAGGTGGCCAGGACTTCCGCCTGCTGTGCCATTGTTGCAGGACCACAGCTTCGAG